GGAGGAGGAGGAGGAGGAGGAGGATTGCAAAAATCACGTCGGCGCACGTCAGGGCCGCATCTCTGTGGCTTCCCAGCCTCGGTGGCCCTCGCTCTGGCGGGCCGAGGGCGCTCCGCGGGGGGGGGGGGCCGCATCGTCCCGCACGGCGGCCAGAGGTCCGAGCTCTGACCCGCATGGGCGCGCCGACCCAGGGAGCCGAGGGCCCAGAGAAACTGGAGCGGCCAGCGTTCGGAGCTTAAGAGACAGGGGTCAACCCAGAGATTCAGCGCATTGAGACACTCAAGACGGAGGTTGTTCGCCTTTTTCGGCCTCTTGAGGCCCCCACAGGGCCCCGGGGCTGTCAATTATCTCGGCGAAGGACTCAACCATATGAAGTCGTGGGTACCGCCATTGTGAATATCGTCTTCAGAGAAGCTCCCTATGGGGCCACGAAGCGCTGCGCTGGGCGGGCGGGGAACGCATGCGGGCGATTGCACTGGGGCCGTCGGTGAAGCTGCCTATGAGGCCACGAAATGCTGCACTGGGTGGGTGAAAATGTAAAATTAGGCGAGGGGCAGCATGCGGGCGGTCCCATTGGGGGCTTCGGTGGAGCTCCCCATGGGGCCGCGAAGCGTTGTAAAGGGTTGGTAACATGCCAAATTGGGTGCGGGGGACGCATGCGGGAGGTCCCACTGGGGACTTCGGTGGGGCTCCCTATTGGGGCCACGAAGCGCTGTACTGGGTCGGTGAAAATGCCAAATTGGGTGTGGGGGACGCATGCGGGCGGTCCCACTGGAGGCTTCGGTGGAGCTCCCTTTGGGGGACGCATGCGGGCGGTCCCACTGGGGGCTTCGGTGGAGCTCCCTATGGGCCACGAAGCGCTGTACTGGGCGGGTGACAATGCCAAATTGGGCATGGTGGCCGCATGCGGGCGGCCCCATTGGGGGCTTCGATGGAGCTCCTTATGGCTGATGGGGCCACGGAGCGTTGTAATGGGTGGGTGACAATGCCAAATCGGGTGTGGGGGACGCATGCGGGCGGTCCCACTGGGGGCTTCGGTGGGGCTCCCTATGGGGCCACGAAGCGCTGTACTTAGTGGGTGGCAATACCAAATTGGGCATGGTGGCCGCATGCGGGCGGCCCCATTCGGGGCTTCGATGGAGCTCCTTATGGCTCATGGGGCCACGGAGCGTTGTAATGGGTGGGTGACAATGCCAAATCGGGTGTGGGGGACGCATGCGGGCGGTCCCACTGGGGGCTTCGGTGGGGCTCCCTATGGGGCCACGAAGCGCTGTACTTGGCGGGTGACAGTGCCAAGCTGGGCGTGGGGGACGCGAGCGGGCGGTCCCACTGGGGGCTTCGGTGGGGCTCCTTATTGGTCCACGAAACGCTCTACTGGGTACGGTAGGTTTGCGTCGTGTCGACCAGCGGCGACCCCAGCGCGGGCGTCGTTGCGGCACCGCGGCCGATCGTTCAAGGTTGAACGATCCCTGCGGTGTCAAAAACCAACGCTGGGGTCGGCACGACACGAACCTGCCGTAGGTGGAATTGCAAAATTGGGTGTGGGGGACGCCTGTGGGCGGTACCACTGGGGGCTTCGGTGGAGCTCCCTATGGGGGGTCACGAAGCGTTGTATTGGGTGGGTGAAAATGCCAAATTTGGAATGGAGGACGCATGCGGGCGGTCCCACTCGGGGCTTTGGTGGAGTTCCCTCTGGGGCCACGAAGCGCTGTATTGGGTGTGCGAAGATGCCAAATTAGGCGTGTGGGACGCATGCGGGAGGCCCCACTAGGGGGTTCCGGTGGAGCTCCTTATGGGGCTTCGAAGCGCTGTACTGGGTGGGTGACAATGCCAAGCTGGGTGTGGGGGACGCATGCGGGCGGTCCCACTGGGGGCTTCGGTGGGGCTCCCTATTGGGCCACGAAACGCTGTACTGGGCCTGGCGTCGTGGTTTGTCCCAGGCCTCCTGTGCTGGAGGAGGAGGAGCAGGAGAAGGAGGAGGAGGAGGAGGAGGAGGAGGAGGAGGAGGAGGCTCGTTCTGAGTAGAGCGCTGTGGTCTCCACCTCCCCTCTCTCCTCCCACCTCCTCCCGCCTCCTCCTGCCTGTCTGCTGCTCCCTGGGCGGCTGAGACCTGCGCAACCTTCGCCACTCTCGTGGGCCCCCGGGAGGTCCAGCGGAGTCGGGGTCCACGCGGACCCAGGCGGCACCTCGCTGCTCCCTGGGAGGCTGCCCACTGCGCAACTATCGCCACTCTCGTTGGCTCCTGGGGTATCCAGCGGAGTCTTGGGCCACGCGCGCCTTTCGTGGGCCCCTGGGAGGCCCAGCGGAGTAGAGGCCCACGCGGACCCAGGGTGCACCTCGCTGCACCCTGGGCGGCTGCGACATGCGCAACCGTCGCCACTTTCGTGGGCCCCTGGGAGATCGGCGGGGTGGAGGCACACGCGAACCCAAGCGGGACCTCGCTGCTCCCTGGGAGGCTGCGAACTGCGCAACCATCGAAACTGTTGTGGTCTCCTGAGAGGTCCAGCGGAGTGGAGGCACATGCGGACCAACGCGGGACCTCGTTGCTTTTTGTGTGGCTGCGGACTGCGCAACAAACAACACGTTCGTGGGCTCTCGGGAGGTCCACCGCAGTCACTGGGGGAACGCGGACCCAGACGGGACCTCGCTGCTCCCTGGGTGGTTGCACATCGTGCAGTTGTCGCCTTTTTCATGGGCTCCTTGGCGGGTCCAGCGGAGTCTTGGGCCACGCGCGCCCAGATGAGACCTCGCTGCTCCCTGGGAGGCTGCGAACTGCGCAGCCGTCGCCACTTTCGCGGGCTCCTAGGAGGTCCAGCGGAGTCGGGGGGCACACGGACCCAGGCGGGACCTCGCTGCTTCTTGGGAGGCTGCGAACTGCTCAATTGTCGCCACTCTCGTGGGCTCCTAGGCGGTCCAGCGGAGTCGGGGGTGACGCGCATTCAGACGGGGACCTCGTTGCTCCCCGGGTGGCTGCGGACTGCGCAACCGTCACCATCTTTGTGAGCTCCTGGGAGGTCCCGCGGGGTCGGGGGGCAAGCGCACTCAGAGAAGACCTCTCGGCTCACTCGGTGGCTGCCAACTGCACAGCTGTCGGCATCTTCATGCGCAAGCCTGTTGCGTATCTCCTTATGTGTTGGTTTGTAGAGAACCCTTCTGTTAGTAGTTGCCTTGCGTGGAGAAGGGGATGAGTACGTCACGGGTAATCTTAAAACGTCGACCCCCAGAGGTCTCGACCCGTCCCCGGGACCGGTGTTTCATCCCGAGTCGCTGTTCGACGGTCCCGGGGCACGGCAAGGGCCCCCCCAGAGGCCGACAAAGAGCAGAAAGCTTCCCGTCTTGATTTTCCATGGCTCGCTGTGTGGGGGGGTTTTGGGTGGAGAGACAGGTCGAGGGAGGGGCCCCGCTCCACCCAGCGGCGCGCGGCGCTGTGTGCCTGGGCGGCAGCTCCGCGGTCGCGCCCCCTGCCAGGTCGGTGCCGGCATCGGCCTCGTGGGCGGCGTGGCTGCTGCGCTGGGTGCCGCCCCCGCCGCCCCGGCCAGCTGGCTGTGCATGGTGGGTTTTTGTCCAGCAACCCGCGCTTGTCGCCGTGAAGAGAGAGAAGGAGGAGGAGGAGGAGGAGGAGGAGGAGGAGGAGGAAGAGGAGGAGGAGGACCAGGACCAGGAGCAGGAGCAGGAGCAGCAGGAGGAGGAGGAGGAGGAGGAGGAGGAGGAGGATCTGGCTGTACTGCATGATTTTTCCAGCAGCCCGCGCTTGTCGCCGTGAGGACAAGCGGGTCCCGAGGGAGACGGGGTTTGTTCTGTGTGTGTGTGTGCCCTTTGTGCTTCTTATGCAACGACTAAACATATGTAAACGAAGAGGTTTTTGACTTCACAGGGGCCTCCGCGGGCCCCAGGACGGTCAGAAGCCTGCTCGGCACAGAGAAGCGCTGCTCGCGTGGGATGGCCCGGTGGTCCAGGGCCCGCTTCTACCAGGGCATGCGCGCCCCTCGTGCCAAGATCTTGGCCCGGCGAAGTTTGACGCTTGGAGTACGGTCGAGACTTATGTTGCTTCCATCGTGCTTACGGAGCACATCCCACAAATAATTGCGAGCACCCAGAAAAGTATCGAAACGTGTCGAACGAGGATCGCCTCCCAGGCCCCACACGTGAACACCTTCAAGTTTCGGTAATTACGTTCTTGGTGCTCGAAATTTGTTCTGGTGATCGAGGCTAAAAAGTGGATGGAACATCATAAGTCAAGACGCTGAAGTAAGGGCCGCTTTGGGTTCGGAAGGGGTTCGCTGTTCCGTAGGGCATTCTGTGGTCATCCCTTCAGCCCTCCTCGAGCACCCAGGCACGTTGGTGCCAAGAGGGGGCTTCGTCGTTCCTGATATGCCGCTCCGTATTTCAGCAGCCCGACTGTATCGATACCAGCCCATCCAGAAATAATCCCCGGGCGAGTGGCCTGGATGCAATAGCCTTCGTGGGTCTGTCGGTCTGAGAGTCGATGTGAGGCTTCCTCGGGCCATACAGTTTAAACGAGCAAATTTGATATGGGAGGGGTGCCCTCCGGGATGTCTGCGTAGCCATTTTGGCGCAACTTGTGTTCGATTGTTTTTTGTTTTCATGCGCTCCAGGGTATCGGCCCTTCTATTCGCTTGTGTAGATGCGATGGGTTAGGCGTCCTTGGCCTCTTTCGGCCTCTTCGGCGCCTCTTGGGGCCTCTTGGGGGCCTCATGGGGCGGAAGGCTCGGACTTTTGACTCGTCTTCCCGCTCTTGTGCCCCTCTTGGGCCATCTTGGGTGCCTGTTGGGCCGTCTTGGGGTGCTCTTATGCCGTCTTGGGGCCCTTTGCGAGGCCTCTTGGGCCGTGTTGGGGTGGTCTTGGGTTTTTTTGGGGGTCGTTTTGGAGCGCCGGGAGACAGAAGAAAAAACGATAACGCACACATCCGCCTCCCCTTCCCCTCCTGGCGGCAAGCCGCTTTCGTCCTTTCGGCGGCAAACCGCCTACTCCCTCCTTCGGCGGCAAGCCGCCTCCCCCCTCCTTCGGCGGCGAACCGCCTCCCCTCCCCCTCCTGTCGGCAAGCCGCTTTATACTCCTCCCCCCTCCTCCTTTCGGCGGCAAAGCCGCCCACTCCCTCCTTCGGCGGCAAACCGCCTTCCTCCTCCCCCGGCGGCAAACCGCATTTCCTCCCCCCTCCCCCGTCGACTGCAAAAAGCCTTCCCCTTCCCTCGCGGCGGTCGGTTGCCCGCCTTCGCCCCGCTCCCCCCCCACGTCGTCGCCCCTCATTCCGTCGCGGCGCCTCTGCCGCCCTCGATCGTCGCGCGCGCGGGGGGAGAGGCGGGGGGGCAGGGGGAATGGCGGCGGCGGTGGGAAGGAGGAAGGAGTGAAGGAGGGTGATGATACAGATCAAGAGGAGGGAAGGCTTAAGGATCAAGGAGGGTGATCATACAGATTGGGTGGGAGACGGAGGGGGGGAGGAGGAATGGGATTTCCTTTGCGCGCGCGCGTTGGTTCAACCTGTTTTTGGCCAGCCCTCGACCGAGGGCTTCGGGGGGGGGGGGGGGGCGCGCGCGGGGCGAGTCGCGCGCCCCGCTCGGCGCGCGCGAGCGCCGCGTCGCGGCCGTGGAAGCTACCCTTCGAGGCCGCCTGGAGGAGGCGCGCGCGGCGTCGGCGGCAGGCGGCAGTGCGACGAGCCACCTTGCTGCGTGCATCCGGGCGGCGAGGCCCCAGCGATGGGCGCAGCTCCAGATATCGCAGTTCGCTGCGTTGGCTAGCAGCACGGGGTGGGTCGGTGTGTGTGTGTGTGTGCGCGTGTGTGTGTGTGTGTGTGTGTGTGTGTGTGTGTGTGTGTGTGCGTGGTGTGTTGGTGTGTGTGTGCGTGTGTGGTGGTGCGTTTGCGTGTGTGCGTGGTGTGTGTGCGTGTGCGTGCGTGCGTGTGTGTGTGGTGTGGGGGGGGGGGGGGGGGGGGGCGGCTGAGTTGGCAGATTTTTGGAGGCCAAATTATGTTACCAGCGAGCACGTGGCGTGGCTGAAGCAGAGATACAAGGACACCCCAGAGGAGTTCTACACCGAGACAGGCTACGAGGTCGTGATTCCAGGCAACTTCGACAAGCGGTTCCACATCCATCATGGTCTTCAATTGTTGGGGCCTTTCAAGAGCAGCGGTCCGGATCAGGGCGACTTTCCTTGTCTGCAGCGAGGTCCGGACTCACAGTGCTCTTTCCAGTTGACTACCGCTGCGGCTGGGACCTCATGAACCCTGCGCATCGGAAGCTAGTGAGCAAGGTCCAGTCCGTTTTCAAGCCCATAGTGAAGCTGTCGTCTCCATATTGCAGGCTCTGGACGGCCATGAGCAACGTGCGAGGAGCTGGAGTTGCGACAGCCGAGCGATAATCAGAGTTTCCTATGTTAGAGTGGCTTTATCATGACAATTTCGTTCAATATCAAGACGGGCATGGCTACATCGACGAGAATGGCCTACGCTCTCAGCTCCGGGCGCAGTCACCACTGAAGCATAATCAGGACATCGTCAGCGAAAGAACTCGACAAGTTGACGGATGCGCTCACGGCTGCCGGAACACAAACAACGAGCTCTTGGAGAAACCCTACAGGCTCAACTCCAACATCCAGCTTAAGAAGACTATTCGACGATGCCCTGGCCGTGGAGTTCAGCGACATGCAGTTGTTGTGGGCTCAGAACCAGGTTCAGCTCCAAGAATGCAGCGTTGACTACAGTATATACTCGCACCATGTGCCGGGCTCTCATCAGCGACATCACCTCCTTCTCGCACATGTTCACCTGCGCCCTGATGTCGGCTGCGCTCGTCTGCAGCAACATCGACATGCACCGAGGAGGCCCGAACGCAGAAGCAGTGCGAGCTCAGTTACTTCACCCCAAGGCGACGGCGCCTCGACTTGGCAGCGACGTTGCGGCCGCATACGACATCACTACGGTTGCTGATGGCTTTCTTGAACCTGGACAATGGCGTGGATTGCATACCGAGCTCACGCTGGCACTACCTTCAGGTGCCGCTGGCCAGCTGCGGCCTCGGTCGGGCCTGGCGCTGAGGCAAGGTCTCGGCATCGATGGGGGAGTTATCGACGCTGACTACAGAGGCGAGCTCATCGTGATACTGGAAAATCGTGGCAAGACCCGCTTTGCATGCCAAAGCGGCGACAGGATTGCTCAGCTCATGATCGCGCAGACCCAGGCCCCGCCAGTGCAGCTCAAAGATCGCATCGACGACAACGAGACCGAGCGCGGTCATAATGGCTTTGGCAGCGCTGGACTACATACTCTGGTGAACGACGCCGAGGCTTTCTGGGGCAGCCCGAAGTGCAAGTACGGTGGAGAGCGTGAGCGCAGCAGAATTCCTGGGAACTGCAAGCTGGCACCCAAAGCAGATCCCAAGCGGGCGTTGACACGATCAGTGGCCAAGGCACCAGCAGCAGCAAAGGCAGCAGCGCCAGCAGCGTCAGCTCCACGTCGACAGCTGGCACCATCGATTCCAGCACCCGGTCCAAGACCATGAGAAAAAATTGAACGAGAATATCTTACAACCACCAAATTCGGCTTCTGCATCGAGTTCAGCAGCACCAGCAGCAACATCAGAAGTAGTTGTAGGTCCCACGGCGCGAGAAATACAACCGTTACAGCGACCAGCCAAAGGCGCCGTCAAGATGAAGTTGGCTCACGACAGACTAGGGCGAGTCACGGTGAACGACTTTCACCATGAACATTCACGAGCAGATGAAGAATCTCGATCAGGTATGGTTGGCTCGCATCTAGGACAGCATACAGGCGCACTTACGGCGCCCAACGCAGCAGCAGCTCAACCTGGACGACAACACCGACGGCACCGCTCAGATGTTGATCGAGCTGTTGAGACCGCTGGTGGACGTCGACTCTTTGCACGTCACCTTCTCAGCCGAACAGCTTGGAGACATCCAACACCGCCTCGATCGATGACGGCCCGTTTCGAGTTACCTTCCTCGGCGCGGACATGGATAAGTGGGAGTCTTCAGCACTGGAGCGGCTCGACGCACTCACTTCAGCACCGCAGCATCATGTCATTCGAGGACGCAAGTGGCTCATCGTGGCTCAAGGTCATGCACCACCCCCCACGATGGAGGAAGATGCAGAACGGAGGATCTTACCGAGGCTGAAGCTCATCACTACACCTCCGAGCTTCGACTTCGCCAAGTTGAGGCAACAGCTGAAGGAGACGAAGACCGACGCCGAACGTTTCCGCCTGCTCAAGAGCCTACGTGAGCGATTGTGGCACGGGCAGCTACTGGGCATGGAGAAATTCCTGAGACGGCTCGGCGTGCCGGACAAGTGCCTGGAGTTGCCGCAGCAAGTTATTGCAGCATGCGAGGAGTGTAACGACTGGGCACCTACCGCATCCAAGCCGAAGTATCGAGCAGAGTTGGCAGGATGGTTCGGCGAAGTCATGGTGTGCGACCTCTTCTGCATCTTCGGCAAGACCTTCTTTCTCATGGCCGACGAGGAGATCAGATGGATGTTGGCTG